ACCAAGGGTGGCGACCCACACTGGCAGGTAGTAGCTTCAAAAACCATTGCTACTAGTAGGTAGGGGTGTGAAGAGGGTGGGTGCCATTCTTAGGAGGTATGTGGATACCAGCAGGATAGTGTGGCCTTTTGAGTGGAAGCCATGGAAAAATGCGCTGTTCTTTGCGGTGCAAGAACCAGCTCTTTGTGACTCGAAGAGGCATCATCGCTGCGTTTCACACGGACACCAAAGAAGGAATGACAAACACCCAAACACCGAATGATAAGCGAAGAAAAATCTATGCAACGATCCTCACAAAGCAGGACAAAGAGAAACCAGTGAAGAATCCATCCACTTTGGATTCAAGTTGCATTCCGCTTTAATTTGGATGATCCAATTTGGGTACGTTCATGTACAGTGTAACTTGGCGGACATCTGTCCCCAAAACCACACTTCAGAAGCAACCCCTCAGAACCGCACCAAAACACCAAACCGGATCTCTCTGCTTTCGTCGCTGAGATGCGCTTGGAGTTTGCCATGGTGGATTTCTCAGCATGATTGGTGCCAAGTTGATCCACGATGTGGACGATGGATTGTGTGGTTTGCCGGGCATGAGCGGCTTCGCTGGTTCGTTGCCGATGATGAGGCTTTCCTCAGATGGCTGTGGCTTTACACAAAAGACCCCTTCCTTTCGGGGTTGGAGGCCATCGCCGGTAGGTTGGAGGCTATTAGAAGGAGGCCATCACGTAAGATCCTTCCTTTCGGGGTCTGCAGGTCTCAAGTCGTTGTCGCTCTCTGAATGGACCAAAGTGGAAACCCGGTCCTCCTATGGTTCCTATATCTCCTGTTTCAAAGGAAAACAAGGCATTCTGGGACCAACTCTTGATATCAAATGTGCATCCGAAAACAAGTTCTTGCCGCCGTCTAGGACGATGGCCAGGCGTCATCATGAGCGAAACGGCAACGATGGCCACGGGTACATGTGTTGGAGAGAAAGTACTGACACAAGACCTGCTTCTTCAAGTCTCCTAAAACACGACAGGGCAAGCTGTCCATCCCACGGCCGCGCGAGGCGGGGCCGAGTGGTCGAAGGAGTATCACCGATAAGTGAAATCCTATGGTCAATGAATGGACTCATTTTGACATATAATATATTTATGTAGCAGACTTGTGAAGAAGGCCATCAGAACTCCCTCTAATCACCATATGTGCCTCTCAAGATAAGCGGACAATACCCCAAACAGTGAGACACATTGCACATTCGGATGTTCACTGCCGGACTCGAGTCCAGCACCCTGGATTGGTCGGTTCTTTTCGTGGGGTGTTGTGATGCATTTTCTTCACCAAGCTCCAAGGAAGAGAAAAGATCCTATAGACGCACTAACCTTGGAAGTTCAACTGAACATGAGACATCCTGGATGTTCTGAAGAACGAGGGGCTTTATTTCAGTTGTTTAATTGAAGCCAAGGAAGGACCCAAAATAGCACCTCAAAAACACCTAGCTTGGAGGCGGAGGCAATTGCTACTAAAATCGTGCACGATAGGATGTTCCTCTCACAACTCACCAAGGCGCTGGGTAACTCCCACCCATGCCCTGGACCCAGTCCTCCCCTCACTGCAGTACTTGTTTGGCGACTGTGCTTTGGTTTACATGGAAACGGACGCATTAACCTTTCTCAATTGTTCATTTGTGCGAGTGAAATCCCCAAAAAGTTCAAGGTTAGCCACTGACTAGGTAAGATCACTGACGGGGTAATATGAGATTGTCACCAATCGACTATCGCCAATAATCTCACGCAGCTCATTTCGTTTGCAATGGTTGTTGACTTGCAACGTCCTTGGTCTGTAATAGATTAATCTGCCATCCGCTTTCGTCACCACTTCCATCTTCGGCTAGTGACACGCCTCTTAGACCGAAGTAAATGTAACTCATCCAGGATAGCTTCCATCCACTCCACATGTAGAAGCCCAAGAGCAAAGCATGATGGATTCAAGAGACCACGAGCTTGATACCGTTCCCCAGAATCGCAAGCTATACTGTCACACGTATGGGAACTCACCCGAATGGCACCTTGGATCCCCACGGGACACGACCGACCCCGCGGTCCTTTCGACATCTCGCAGGGCCGCAACGCCATGGCTTTCACTCCACGCTGGCACCGCCGGAGCCGAGCCGTTGAAGCTGGCGCTCGAGCCGTGCCGTCCGAGCGGACGGAAAGTGATGATGTGATGGAAGAAGCTGGTGCGAAGTCTGATGGATTTGTGAACGCACAGATCTCAAAAATGAAGCGGAGTTGGGGAGATATTTCCCAAAAGACTGTGGCATGTCACCACAAAGTACCACTTTGAGTGCAGAGCAGGGTGTTCATTTATAGAACGTCTCCCTTCCATAGACAATGATGGGGAATTTCGAGTGGTACACATGCAATCTTGTTGGATATGATACGCAAATATGTGTTCTATGATGACACAGGGAGCATAGCAATGGCCTCCAAGCTAATAGCATAAGGAACCTAATAGACATGGCCCCCAACTTACTAGCGATGGCCTATTAGAGTCTAATCTATGTCCCTGACCAACCCTTTCGGCACAGTTTTTGAACCACCGTGACTTCTCTGTCAGAATCTCACCAGCCAGATTCCGACCCCTTGGTCAAAAGGACTAGACGACGAGTGGCCCGAAAGCATTTTTCATCACGTAGGAAGTCAGAGTGCGAGTTATCTGTTAAGTGTGTTATAAGTGTTCAGTGTGAAGTGTTAAGTCGAGTGTGTTGAGGCAGTGTGTGGGTCTCTGTGTGTGTGTGTATCTATGTCTGTGTGTGTATGTGTCTCTCTCTGTATGTCTTTCTGAAGCGCAGGAACACCTGTTTTCTGCAAGTTCTTCACCTCTCGAAAGTCACCTCCGCGTAGTAAAGTTGTACTACAAAGTCGCCAGTTCTCATCTTCCAGCTCCACAGATTGCTCCGTGTACTAAAGTTCTACTACCAAGTCGCCAGTTCTCATCTTCCAGCTCCCCAGATACTCCGCGCACTCAAGTTGTACTACCAAGTCGCCAGTTCCCATCTTCCAGCTCCCTTGATACTCCGCGTACTAATGTTGTACTACCAAGTCACCAGTTCTCATCTTCCCACTCCCCAGATACTCCGCGTACTAAAGTTGTACTACCAAGTCGCCAGTTCTCATCTT